TAAGCATTAGAATTTTCATCATCATAATTTACTTTGTCCAATAAAAATGCACATAAATCATCTTCAAGATCAATTTTTTCGCCATTGTTCGTAATAAATGAATAAATAGTTTTATTGATCTTAATCACACGACCACCAATAACGTGCTTTTCCCAATGAACATCAGATTCTACTAGTTCTGGTGGAGTTTTTTCATATTTTGCTTTTGACCATTTGTCGTTTAGTAAATATTTGTGCATTTTATGATGTATAAATTCATGACAAATAGATATTACTAAACGTAACTTTGCTTTGTTTAATACCATTGGCTGATTGAAGGCATTGATACAATCTTCAAATAATTCTTTATTAATTTGTAATATATAAGTATCATCTGATGATTTATAAGATATACCATCAGTTGAATAATACTTCAATCTGTTCTCATCAACAGTAATTTCAATCACTTGTATTCGTTCAATAATATGTTGTATAATGTCATTTTTAGTATCATTAGCTTTATCACATTTTTTTAAAATCTGTAATGAACGTTCACTTAATAAAATATACGGCACAAGTTGTAAAGATTGGTTAATTAAGTCATTATTTTGATATACTTGATCAACCGTTGGTGCCAAACGTGGAAGAACAATATGTGTTGGGAATATGTTTTGTAATAAACTAGTTGAAGTTGATGGTAAATTTATATTTGCAGTCTAAAATAAAAATAAAGTATAACAGATTATGTAGATTTAGATTTAGATAAAGAAAGAAGAAGTCGACTCAAAATAATTGCACAAGATGATGTATTGTGCAAAGATATAATTAACTATATGCTACGATCTCAATATTCAATCTAAGAAAACAAAAACTAACTTGAATTTGTTGTAAAGTGAGCATCATACGTTGACCAATAACTGAATTAACTTCAATCAATGATTCAGCAAATGTATCAGCAAATAATTTAATCACATTACGTATATGTGAATTATTTTGCCCAATAATAATCGGATTATTTCTAAAATAAAATCATCATAAAAATACTTTGAAACTTCTCATACATACGATTCAATTAAATCACATAAATAATTATAAACATACTAGAAGCCCCTGTGAAGGGTTGAACTCAAGGGGGAGAAGCGGGACTCCTGCAGTGCGTACTCCCACTGTACCCCCTCTGTGCTCCCCTGTACTTCCACTGTACTCCCATTGTATTGTGGGAGTACGGGAGTCTTGCCTTTTCCCCCTTGGTTGAACTTTAATATTATCGGAAAAATTTAATATTATAGGAGAAATTGATTTAATTTACATAAGAAGTTCCTGAATGAAAAATATAATATAAATATATAAATAATTAATTAGTGATTAATTACTAAATCACTCACTTACTCTATCATCTCCTTTCAATCAGTTAATAGAAGGGAGCTCTTACAATATTTAGCTTCGCTACGATTATTTATTATTCTTACTCTCCGAAAATATAATTAATATAGATAATGGATAGTTTTGTAAACGTTATGCTGCTCCGAGCTTTGAAAAATAAAACAAAATAAAATATGACGGCCATATATATGTATAGAGAGAGAGAGATAATCAATGGTCAGACATGACGTACATGTATAATGAATAGACATACACGACGTATGTATAATGAATGGACATATAGGACGCACATATATATATGTATATGTTGGTGTCCAATGTCGGATTTAGTCCAATCTCGGATTGGCCTAGGCCAATCTAGGATGCTCACTTTGGACTAGTCCAATCTTGGATCTCACATTGGCCTGATGTAAATTCAGGTCATTCTAGGATCGATAAGTGAAAACCAGTCCAATCTCAGATTGGACTGGATATCACTAGGCCAATCTTAGATTCGACTAGGTCAATCTCAGAATAGACTAGTTCAATCTCGAAATAAATTAGATATAATATTTAAATGTAGGTAAAGCATGTACAAAAATTTTATTTTCAATAAAGTAGTATATTTAATCAGCAGTAACAAAAAACAGTTTCACGAAATTCAAAAAAAACAACATGGAATAGTATTTCTGTTCTAACAACCTAAGTTAACACAAAGAGACCCATTTTTGTGACATTTTGTAGAACAAAATACACTATTCCTCTTACAAGCACACTCCTTTGTTTTACAACTACCTTTACATGAACAAGTAAATCCATTAGCACTACCACGAACGTATAATTTCGACGCGGTTATAATTGAAATTTTTTTCAACTGACTTGTGTTTAAATTAATCAATTTTTCTGGTACTGCAGATAATTTAACGACAGAATCAAATGACCACCATGTATCAATTATACCATATTCACATGCGACCTTAATTTTATCATGTCTTTTTTTAAAGACAACTACAGGTAATATTTTAGGATCCGTATTTGTACGATCAACTTTATCAATATTAATACCAACAAAATCACCAATGGAACAACCAGAGGAAAACTCTTCTATAAATTCATAATAAACTTTAATCCTTTTGTTTGCTTTTGATAAATATTTTTCTGTTGCTCGTCGACGTATTACCAAATGTGCTGAATTAGCTGATGTTATATCATCACTAGCAACTTCGTTTGTATGTTGTGTTATATCATCAGTTTCTTCATTGCTTGAATCAGTCGAGTCCACTGCTTGTGTACATACATCATTAATTATACCTGATGAAGCGGCTGATTCTGACATCGAATCAGCTGTTGATGCATCGGGCTTGGGGATGGTGGAAGAAATTGAGTGTTGTTGATTAACAGCATCAGTATTTGATACATCGTAAGTTGTAGACATTGAAGTTTTATCTTCCATAAGTTGTTCAAGAATAGCAGGTGGTAAATCTTCTTCGTTGATAATACCTTCAGTTAGAGAGAGAATATTTTATTTTTCTGCAATAAACAAATCAGTTACCTTGTTCATCTATTGATTTCCATAAATCAAAGCCAAGTCTTGGTTTTTGACCAAATACAATTTCATAAGGAGTTGTATCAACACCACGAGCTAAACTAGTATTCATAGAATATACAACAGGCAGAAG